CTACTACTACTACTACTACTACTACTACTACTAGAGGTACTTTCTACCCCGTTCGTCATCCACATCACACCACATCGAGGTATATGTGTTGCATACTACAGAATTAGGTCTGAAAATGGATTATCCGCGGAAATATGTAAAATCAAAGGATCGACAAGCTCGAGATCTCCTACACCAAAGAAAGCCATCGCCCTCTTAGTCAGCCACCAGTGCTTTATATGTGTACCTCGTACAAAAATACCTAAAGATCCAACCAACGACACGAGTACGAAGTAATCTTCGTTTACTCGCCCCCAACTAACTCAGGAAAGCAAGTGTCTTGCCCGCATTGGGTCTGTGCAGCCTCGCCTCATTATTACGAGTAGTACCTCGTAATTCGTCCCCACAATCAGACTGACACGCCTTGCGAATACGGAGCACCTACATAAATAATGCTTACTGCCGAGAGGTAGGAACATAGATCTGGCCAAACACTTTTAGCTTGCGGTATGCGATAGGGAGACCTCGAAGATAGACCCAGTATGTAACGGGTCAAAAAATATTGGTGCGTTCCTGGGATGTGCCGGAAAGAGAGCTAGTACAGTGGCGAGCAAAAATCCAAAAAATTGGCAGTTTTGCCGAGGGCACAATAAGAGTTACACCGCTATATGCGCATATGGCGGTGTAGGTCTACGCACTTTAGAACAGCATAATTTACATAGTAAATAGCTATCCTGTAGTATATAAGAGTATATTAGTATGTCTGCGCGACCTCGCCGTAAACCGACACCTTCTCGCCGCCTCCTGGAAGTACGCGCCTTAGCCGCGCTAACGAGAGTAAATCGGCCTATAGTAACGCTAACGCCCTTAAGGCCACTGTCTCCGACCTCTCGGGAGCTGGTAGAGGCCACTCCAGTGCTACCTAGGTCTATAACTGTCATTTCCGTTAGTCCTAGTACGATAGAAAACCCTAAGAGACCTAGTCAGCGCATTAGGCTGACGTTTAATAACTCGCGCGACTTAACCTAGGCGCGATCGCCTGTTCCTAGCGCTACGAGGGCCGCGGCGGCGCGCGAATCTGTACCTACATTCGGTAGACTTACACCTGACGAGGCGAGATCGATCGCTCGCGCGGCGCTTAAGGAAAGCGCTGTACAGCGATTCTACACTTCGTAGAACTCGTAATGACTATTTACGTCTTAAATCCTTAATGAAGACGATAGTTTAGACCTATCGGACGATCTAGATAGCTAGAATAACTCGATAATCGGCGCTAGTAGCTAGGCGAAGCGGCCTCGGAGTAGTAGTATAGATAGATCTATTCCTCCGCCCTCTTATTAACTAGAGGCTATAGAACAATATAAACGCTATAAAAGGACCTTAGGAACAAGATAAATAGACTCTCCAGCGATAGAACCCTTCGAAATAAGTAAAGTTACATTTAAAATCGCTACCTCTATAATAGTAGGAAGGTCCTTAGAACTCTCTATAGAGGACGATAAAATAGAGCTATTTAATATCGACCTTCTTACTTACGCCTACTAACGACGCCTAGAAGCGAAGTTTCTACCTGACTAATTTCATCTAATACCTCCTATCCTTAGTAGTGAACTAGTCCTTATGATTTCGAATAAGAGGCTATTCTAATTCACCTATAAAGACGATAGAGATTTCGAGAAGTTCGCGAGGTAATGGTGGAAGACCTTATAGGAACCGCGGCGATAGAAGTATACTATCTAGATTACTCTAACTATTAAGTTCGAGGCTAGGCTAGTTACGCTACTACGGCTATAGGACTTAATATAGGCTAGGCGTCGGCGTAATAAGGAGCGAACGAGACTAAGCGCTACTTAGCGTTAGCGCTAATCGATCGCGGCGGAGGAACTACTAAACGTCGCCACCGGCGATATCTAGGTATATAAGTTAGCCGCTAGATAGATATACTCGAGCGATCGATGTCCTAATTACGGTAGAACCTACCTACCTATAGAAGAGGGCTACCTCCGCCTAGACACCCCATCGATTAGCTTATAGTTTAAATCGATCCGAAATCGTACCGTAATAGCTGAAGAGATACTAGGATCGTTACTTCTAAGACTTATAAAAGATAAGGCTAACTATATAAATAAGAAGGCCGGTAAGGCGGCCTCGAATAGCGCGTAAATCGCTACTAGTAGTAGCGGCGTTTACATCTAGTTTTTCTAGGGTAGCGAAGGTACCGCGGCCGCTATAGCGAGATCCGAGCGCGAAGAGTAATCTAGCCTACCTTTCCGGCCTAGCGATAACGATAATAACGTAGCTATCTACCTTAACTAGCTCGGTAGACGCTATCCTAACTATACGGTCGAATTCGGCGAGATTAAGGGCATTCTATAGGGCGAGGGCTAGGGTTTCTTAGACCTTCGAATAATTATAGATTTAGGCTAGGAACGTATAGAAATCCGTAGTAGATTCGTCGTAAAGATTAAGAAGAACCTTAAGATCTTCGTAAACGAGGAATTATAGCTAGAAGAGCCTTCTATAGTGGCTACTAGCGACCTTAGCCTTAAGCCTTAAGACCTCTATTATTATTGTTGTTCGAATAGGATACCGCGTTACTAGCGTAATAGGTAGTGCCGCCGGCGATTATAGGATTACTTATAAAGTAACGGCCTCGGAACGGCGCTAAGTAAAGTTATTATAACGTCGCTAAAAGGTAGGAAATGGTGTATTTAGAGCGATCGATTAAGTAGTAGGCTATAGCGCGAGGTCTAAGCTATTTCCTAGGTAAGCTTTTACTCACCTAATTTTACTGTAAACGAGGTTTCTATAGGAAACGACCTAGCCTAGTAATACTAAGTTTATACATTAATTAACCTCGCTATCTACGATAGTTATACTTACGCCTAACCCTCGATTCCTACTAATAGGACTAGTTCCTCTTAATCTTCGCGTTCCTCCTACCTAGTCCTAGTAGGTAGTCTATAGCTATAGGTTCTAAAGTAGTTCCTCGCTGTCCTCGTAGGATAGACTACCTACATTACTAGGTGGAGGAAGACCTCGAATTACTCTTTATATTTATATCTAATCTCGCGATTCTTCCTTATCTACTCCTTTAATTTATGAAAGGCTATCTTAATCGGGTTTAGATACGGCGAATAGGGAGGTAGGTAGGCGAGAACTACGCTATATTACTAGTAAAGAGCCTATATCCGTTCGCCGTAGTAGATCGATACATTATCTAATATTAATACCGATCGAGATGCTAGAAACGCGTTTATCTATCCTAATAGCCTCTCGACGAAGGCTAGGAATCTCTCTCCGTTAAAGGAACCCTAAAAGATCTTATAATTAAGCTATCTATCGATCGTAAGCGCTGGGAGGATACTCTAGCGAATGCTCCGCCTATTAGAAGCCCTTACTCGATAGGGTACTCCTCGTAGTAACTAGTTATATTTACGATCGCTAGTCCTCTCGTTTACGGTACTCTCGTTAAGGTAGACGAGTTGTTTAACTGAGTACTAGGTTATATTAGCTAGGAACGCTATAACTAGCGATTTATTACGCCGAATATTAATCTTATTTACCCTCTTACGTATAAGGCCTAGCCTTTTTAGGATCCTACCTACGGTCGTAGGATAGACCTCTATATTAAACTCTTCCTTAAGGAGATCGTAGACCTCGTCCCTCTACGCCGTTAGGAAATCCTGAATGAATTAGTCGATAGTAGTTATAGCGGCGGAATAGATTACCCTAGGACGGCCTCGTACTACGCCTCCTGGCTCTAAACTAAGCGATTCCTCCTCGTCTCGGTGCCGCTATTAAGTAACGAAGGAAGGAGAGACGTTGTTCACTCGCGAGACGTCGATTGGGCGCATTCCAAGGGCTAATTAGGCGCTTACAGTGGTCCTGATAACCTAGGCCTTTCGAAGGTGTGAACCGCCTGAAGGTATTACTACCGCGTTATAAAAGGCTATTTACGTGGAGATACAGTAACGAGCTATCTATCAAGCCTATAGATGAATTACAGGACGCTGTACTTATTGCATGGCGACCTGTTCTTTACACACCGCTTTTTACGCTGTAGGCGGAACTACTCGCCATTGCAACGATATGCCCTCGGCAAAACTGCCAATTTTTTGGATTTTTGCTCGCCACTGTAGCCTGATATCCGCGGGTGCTTCGGCCGCGCTTGTCAGCCATGGTTTCTCAAAAGAGTGCAAAAGACCCGGAAACAAGTGGCGATTGTTTGGTGGTGGTCTGTTTTTTTTTGCTCACGACATGGGGTATGTCAACCACGTAATTACCCTCGTACATGGCCCCGGAAAAGGGCCTGGATGTTCAAACAAGATATATAAGAAGGACTTTCCCTTCATGTCTCGTTCAGGGCTAGGATGGAGTTTTCTGCTTTCCAAAAACTAATCTGCTAAGGAGAGTCACATCGCTTGAGTGTCAGGGTACGAGGTCATCTCCATGCTTACCTAGAAATATATATATGGTGGGTATATATCGTTCTTGAGTAACCATCGCTTGGAGGTTCTGGACTTTCACCCGCCTCCTTCTGTGGTCTTACCGTACAGACTTCGCAGTTGTCGACCACACCACAACATCTATCCGGAAGTCATGTCGGACAACAAACTCATCGTCATCTTGGGCAGTGGACCTGGCATCGGAGCTAGCACAGGGGCGCTCTTCGCGTCCAAGGGTTTCAATGTCGCATTGCTCTCTCGGAATGTTGAACGTCTGAGTCAGGATGCTGCCAGAGTGCAAGCGGCCAATCCTGGTGTCACGGTCAAAGCGTATCCTGTTGATGTTGGAGACCACAATGCGCTGGCATTAGTGTTGGCCAAAGTCCACGCAGATCTGGGACCCCCGGAAGTGGTATATTACAACGCAGCAAGAGTCATGCCCTCGAGGATCGGTCAGACTCAGCCGGACTTCCTGCTAGAGGATTTCAAGGTGAGAGGAGAACCATGGATTTGGCCCAGGGAGGCACTGAGCGAGATCCTTCTCTTGTCTGTTGTTGGCTAACTGGTTTGTCAATGCATAGAGCATGAACATTGGACTGTTTGTAGCAGCGTCGTGGGCGATACCTCACCTAACGGCGGTGGCAGAGCGACCCGGGTCTCATCCATCGTTTCTGTTCACCAACAGCGGCCTGTATGACCGTCCACTGGCAGACTTCGCCTCGCTCTCCATGCAAAAGGCAGCGCAGTATAACTTGCTGCTGAGCTTGAAGCAAATGGTGGAAGACAAGGGTGTCCACGTCGGCGGCGTCAACATTGGCGGACTCGTCCTGGTAGATCACCCCATCACCAACCCTGACAACACCGCGCGAGCCCTCTACGACATGTACCTGCAGGACAAGCCCAACTGGCAATGGGAGGTCAAGTTGGGAGACTGGGATGAGTTTCTGAGGGAGATGGCGGCGGCTCAGAAGTCTGCCTGAGCCTTGATCTTGCGCAGTCTCTGCCCAGTGTGTGTATGCGCAGTGGACGCTCTGTACAGTTATCACGACATATTCTCGACTTGATGTACTCTTGCCGCTTTGTCTGCGATCTGTGTTGTCTCAGACATACACTCAGCCACCCATGTGTGTGCCTTCTCGTGTCGTGTATGTGTGTGTGCGTGTCCCACCCCCTTTTTCGAGTCTCCCACTTTTCATAATAATTCCACTTTGGTCTCGACTAAACGGCACGTGGGGAAATGGCGTGCCTCGTGGCCGTTGTTGCGCGGGGCTCCATTTCGGCTAAATCAACTTGCTGGAAATGAGAGTGAACTCTTATCTGGCCGTTGCTGAGGGGGCAACTATCGAATTGAAGGTAGCAAGCTCGGTTCCTTGGAGCGGAAAACTGTTGTGCCTAGCTCACCAGTACCGAGAACCTCGAACAACACTTTGCTGTCCACACACACACGCACACAGACTTGACTTCTCTTTCTTCTCTCCCTGGATTTCGTCACCAGAACTTCATTTACTTTTCCCTTTTCCCCCTTCCTCCTTGACTGGAGGTCCTTTCCCATTCTTTCGTGGGTTTCTTTTTCCTTCGCGCAATATATACTCATTCCATACGTTCTTCTTTTTCGTTGTGCCGCCCAGGTTCTCGCCATCGAGAGCTTCTTTTTTGCTTCCTTGCTTGCGCGTATCCCCGATAGTTCGACCGACCAAACTCTCCGGTTTCCACGCAAGACGATGCATTTCGCCTCCCTCCTCCTTCTCCCCCTGCTGGTCGCAGCGGACCAGAATCCCCTGTTTGAAAAGGCCGCAGGCTGGTTCGACAAGGCCAAATCATTCATCCCCGGTGCCGCGCCTGCCGACTCGGTGCCTGAGCCTCTCAGCAATCCTCTCAAGGCGGGCGCCGCCGCCGTCGCAGATCACAAGGTCGAGAAGATCAACGTCCGCAACTGGCAGCGCAAATTGGCGCCCAAGCCGGACACCGAGGAAGAATGGATGATCTATGTGACGGGCGGGAACAAGACGTGCTTTGGCCGATGTGCGAAGGTGGATACCGTGTGGACTGTACGTATATTGCAATGCATTTATTGTGCTCCTGCCTTTGCCCTTTCCCCCCTCCGGAAATATATATTCGTGCGATTTTCCCGTTGTTAGTGGCTATTGGGAAACTAATCATTGGCGGCAATCTAGGAAGCTGTGCCCTTGTTATCCGCATTGCCCCAACCTGCAGGCTCTCCCCCGCTCATCCTGGGCCTCCTCGACTGCGAAAAGGACGAGGTCGTCTGCACGGCGTGGGCGGCGGGCGTGCCCAACATCTACCACTTCCTGCTGCCCAAGCAGTCGGACCAAGGCGCAAAGAGCCCCTTGCACATCGTCCCGCTCAACGTCTCCAGCACCACCGTCGCCGACATCACCAGCCTGCCGCGGGCCTCCAAGTCGCGCTACCTCGACTACCCGGAGTACACGGGCCTGCTGCACCCCACCGACGGCCTGCTGGCCCAGATCGGCGTCATCCAGCCCTTTGGCTACTTCATGTGGGCCCTGGGCACCATGCCCTCGTGGCTGATGATGCTCGGCATCAGCTTCATCTCCCGACAGATCATGAGCCGGAGGATGGGCGGCGGCAGAGGTATCCCTGCTCCGGGCGACGCCCAGCAGCAGCCTGCTGCTCCTAGGGTCGCGCCCGCCTCTCCGGCGTCGCAGCCCAAGGCCGGCGGCGCTGGCAGTGCGCGGAAGAGGAAGTGAATGAGATGATGTGGTGGAAAAATAGGGGGAGGAAGGAGGAGCATTGATCATAATGGTGTGGTGTGGCGCGGTGTGGTGTGAACGAGAAGAGAAGAGAAGACATTGAATTTCCCGGCTGGAGATATCCTATTCTGAGCGGACGTAGGACATTGTGTCCCTGCCCTCGCCAGCTAAAAAGTGTCATTCGTTCCATGTTGTGGCCATTTCCGCCTTTCTTGAATTCCAGCATGAGCTCCTATGACCAGCCCGCTTGCACCTGGAAGCTGGACGTAGACTAGCCCTCCTTGATATCCGACACACCAAGGCCTCTCTCGTCGACGCTGCGCTAAAACACTCGCTGTGCACGCTCTTCAGGTCTGGACGAATTGAGCTATCCCATCGCATTCCCATCTCGAACAGTGCCGTCTTTTCTCTTCTCCCTTACCAACCCATCATGCTACCACCCTATGGTGCAGTGCTGGCTCCACTCTTTGCCGGCCCTTCGCGACCCTCGTTCACATCGCTCTCGCCTTCGCCGCCGTGTCGGAGCTCCACGCCCAACTCCTTCTTGAGCAGGTCGCTCAGACTGCTCCTGTCTCGTAAATAGATCCACTTGCCGCCGCTCTGGCCATCGTCGCCCAGGTCGACGGTCGAGTCGGCCTTCTCCTGCTGCGAGTCGCCGGGGACGACCCAGTCGTAGCGCTTGGGGCCGGAGATTGGGGAGGACAGCCAGATTTGTTTGTTCGGCGGCTGCTTGTTAATCACGTAGGTGCCGTGCTTGGGGTGGGTGATTGTGAGTACACCGGCCTAGAGAGTGGAAGAACCAAAGAGAATATTTTGTTAGTTGTATGTTCCTAGTTCTGGGATGTAGTTGGGAGGGTTGGATGGTGTCAAGTTCAGTGCGGGACTTCTAGAGGTTGTCCATTGTTGCGGGGAATGCACGTACCGAGAATTCCGCCTCTATGCCCTCTGAGCTGCTCTCGGCAAGCTCTTCCATAGCTAGCACAAGCGTGTTGAGATATTGGTCCGCAATCTCATGGTATTCGGAATCCGAGATCTGAGCAGCGCCTGATGTGTTGCCATGTGAAGGTTCGGTCTTGGGCGGGTCTGGGTCACTGCTGCCGGGTTGCAGTCCCTTGGGTCTGTAGAGGGTGGTGGAGAAACATGCTTGTTGGTGAGAGACTGAGGTGAGAGATGTGGAAGCAGGGATAGCTAGACGTTGCAGGGGAGAGGGACATGGTCGGCGAAAGAGGAGGGTTGGTCGCGTGGAGCGGAGGAGATGTCGGCTTGCTTTCATGGTTGCAAGTATGTCAAAACTCTGTGACTTTTTGTCCCGGAAAGCAAAGAGTGTGAGGCAAGAGGAGCTTGTCGCGTGTTCGTGCTCTCGCTTCAAGATAGAAACGAAAGAGATTGGGCAGTTCAGGTCAAGTGTCGCCAGGCACTGTCTGCCATTGAGTTGAATGGGAAAGTTGTTAGAGGTTCCCCGGAGCGAATGACGAATGACGACAGGGTCAATCGGTTCGGCAAACCTGTAGCTTGGAGCTCCATGATTGGTGGAATTATGGAATTTCCCTGGACTGAGGACAGTGCAAGTTGACAGGAAAAATGCCACTAATTTCGAGACATACCATGACGCTAATGTGATTGTCGGAACAACTATTAAATAGTAGTGTCTAGTAGAATCTCTTTAACCAACTGGGATAAAGCTAGGTAGAGAGGTGCTCCATGTCCCTGGCGCAACTTGTTCGGTGTCGCAACTGACTGGGCTTCTCTCACGAGACCGAGAACGTCTCCATAACTCCATTATACATCTTCAAGCAGTCCCTTTTGTTACAAATCTTGGTCTTCACGCTGTTAGGCACGCCACAGCCTGGATATGACTATCTGGCGGTTCTTCGGCCAAATCTTCACAAATCCCAAGTACTCAGGCTTGAGATTGACGGTTGACAATACATCCTTCACAATACGGATGGCAGCTCCAAATCATCCTTATTCAGATCTTGTATAGTTTCCAACCTCTTTAGCTCGCCTCCGCTAAAGCGCACCTCTGTATGCTAGCACTTCGCATATTGGCACCGCACATTTGGAGGCGTGGCAGGTAAAGGGGATGCACCGAGGACTCTGGGAGTCAAGTGGCGGCAGTCGCATGCGCGTACGTGAACCCAGAGCTCAGGTTGTTCTTTGGCGGACAATAAAAGCAGTCTGCCGTCCCCTGTATAATAGAGTGGGAGAGTGTGCGGCGTTTGACTGTGGAACTGTCGGCCTTCATTCGCGCCAGTTATCGTCCAGGTTGTAATTTCATCACTGGCTGCGCAACCCCCTATTTGCTTAAATCCTGCGCTCGTGACTCGACATAGAAGCCTGGATCGGGAACTCGTTCCTGGTGTATCTCTTGTTTTGTCAGAGGCTCATCGACTTCCGATACCGCAACCAGCTCTTTCACTTTCATTATCTGGCCAGCGATTGATGGCGTGACAGGGTGGAATACAGTTGCCATCCGTTTGCGCAGACCGAGTGCTTTGAGGACATTGCCTGATTTTGCTGGCAGACCAATTGCAGATCTGATCAAGGTGATGCGGAAGTACGACATGATTGATGAAAATGGAGCGCCCGAGGGAGGGTGCTTGTGTTCGAAGAGTGCGGGCGTGGGAAAGACCGTAAGGGAATGCGGCGAATACAAGGAAGCGTGACGAGCTGAGTGGGAGGATATCCGGCGGTGTTAATGGATTGAAGTTGAGTTGTCGAGCTTAACTATTATGTCTTGCTACGAAGAACAGATTCAAATGGAGTACAAAAACAGATCTGATCAGGGACCAGCCTTGTCTTGGCACAATAATTCAGTCTGACAAAAAAGCCTCTACAATTCATAAGGCCTTTAACCTTACACTTCCTGACTTCCTCAGCAGGAGAACATTTTACTCCTGTTTTGACAATGTCAATTGCAATTTGCTAATTCATACCACTTCTCCCTTTCGCTATTGACCAAACAAGGTTTCAATTCTCAACACAGCTGACTATGATTATTCCAGTGTCACTTTCCTAGGACAATCACAGAACTACACGCCGAGTGATTATAGGTCAGAATATCCCTTTTTTGCAGTCCCGAACTCGCAATCAAATTGGTCCATTCAGTATTGGTTCTCTCCTTGCCGGCGAAAAGGATATTCATCGAGACATCCTGCATAGCAGCCTGCCAGGGGACGTTAGCGTCGGGAAGGACGATCTCGTCGATCAAGATGAGTGAGTCGCTCGCCATCGCTTCGGAGAGCCGGGACAGGATCTTGAGGCACTCGGCATCGGGCCAATCGTGCATGATGCGACGAAGGTAATAGAACCTAGCGCCTGGACCGCAAGCCGAGTTAGTCGCTGGGGCTGAGCTTCGACACTAGGCATCATGTTGCGAACACACCTTGAACGGCCTGTCTCTCGAAGAAATCTTGCCCAATCACTTTGACCCCGTCAATTCGAGGCAGCTTGTCAACTGTCTGAGGAAGATCCTCTAAAATAACACTTCCACACAAGTTGGGATACTTATTAAGCAGCTGCTTGCACTGGTGGCCATGGCCTCCCCCGACATCGACAAAGAAAGGCCTCTCTGGCTCCGGTGTGACGTCCAAGGCAGCTGAGTTCAGCACATCAATGTCCTTGAGCCAAGCGGCGGATTGAATGGCGGTCATAATCTGCTGCAGGGCAAGAAAGTTCTCAGGATGCTCAGCCAGCCATTCAAAGGCCCCAAGGTTCGTTTTGTGCCCTTTCTGGAAAGGTGTGTATTTATTTTCGGTGATGTCCTGGTACTGTGTTTCGGCTAGGAAAGCAGGAAGTGCTTGAATCGCAGGACCACAAGTGTCCAGACTAAAGGCTACGAGTCAATAAAAGTGTCATAGTCGTGTTGAGAGAAACGCAGCTTACGCATGGTGAACACCAGCAGCGGCAACGGGACTGGCCAGGAAATGAGTGATTTTGTTGGGTCGATACTCTGCCGATCCTGGATTGTCGAGAAAGCCTACCGATGCCAGATATCGGAGGAGACGCTCTATATTTTCCAGGCCGTCAGCAATTATGTCGGATGACAAAGTCACTAAGCGCACGAGAGGACTCACCGACCAACTCCGCGGATGCTTTGATATTCGCGGTCAACCGAGCCCCGCTGACAGTCGAATCGTGTTTGACCAGCTCCTGGAAGAGTCCAAGCTCTACTGCAACATAGGTAACCGAGAGGGAGATTTGCTGAAAAGGTCAGTTGATAACATTATTTTTTGATTCATCATCACCAGACAACGTACTGCGTTGAACATCTTCATAAGAACATCCATTGGCGACTCCAGCTCATGTTGAAGCTGCTGGAGCGCATCGACGATGTGAGATCTCTCAGCGTCGTCCGCTCCTTTTGCCAGTGCCTGTATTTGTTCGACTATGGCTTCCATGACGGTCAAAGGTGATGCAAAGAGATCAGAGCCAATGTAGAATTCAACTCAGCCAGGATCATACACACTTTATATACAGTACTCCTGCCACAGTGTGATTTGAATACAGCCAATCACATCTACTGGAGTTTCCGCGTCCGGATATTCCGAGCATTGGAGACTCTGATTGGTTTGCGTCCAACCCAAGAATCCACAATATGGTTCAAAATGTCGACTACCTGAATCCTGTGACATCTATCCTCTGCCTAGTAGATGGAGATACCGTGCCCGCGAAGAGTCCAACATGGTACTTGGGGTAGATGCAAACCGGAAGATGCGTCCGCGCCGGCCAGTGTCGTGCCAGTATTGCCGTTCCAAGAAGTTGAGATGCAGTCGCCAGTTTCCCTGCGACAACTGTGCGGCGAAGGGCTTATCCTGTCAACTCTACGGCCCATCCATAGAGCCATCGCTCGGAAGAAGAGCCCACCTAACAAGACCTTCCGCGTCGAATGGGCGTGACTCTGACAACTCGTTGAGAGCACAGAGGTTGGGAAAACCAGATCATGGGGCCAGTCATGGTCTACCAACTCCATGGGACATGCGAAGTACCACTCTGAGGCCTCAGTTACGATCAGGGCCTTCTTGTCGACCGCATACTGCTGCTGCTGATGTTGAACTGCTCGAGTGGGATATGATGGATCAAAGTTCGGCGGTAAGTGCTGTCAATCAGCCGATGCTGTGATCTCGATTGTTGCTACTTGCTACTGTCCTTCATTCTTCGTATGAAATGTTGCAAGAAGACGACTGACACGAATTCAATGATCTCGTCAACGCCAGGTGCTTTTCTGCTCTGATAAGATCGTTTTCCGGACATGTCGCGCTCGACAGATTTCAAAGACTACTTCGTACACCTTCCTGGATCCCCCTACACCGTCTTACCCAGCCGAGCCTGTCAAATGCATCTGGCTACCTCGACACGGAGAAGCCAGTGTCTTTGTGGACAAGTACATTCGCGACATTACCTACGTTCACCACGTCATCCATTCCGCGTCTCTTCGAAAGCTCATGGATGACATTTACCATGACCTTGACATGCGCAGACCCCTTCATCGTGGCCATGTGGCCTTGTTGTTGAGCATAATCGCCAGTGCAACATTCCTATGGACGACTCGCGACAATCCAGACCTGTATCACTCGGTGGACGATGCGAGAAATCAAGCCGCCTCCTGGGTTACTGCAACACTGGACATGCTAGACTACTCTCGGCGGACTACGAACGGTTCTATCGAGGACGTTCAAGCACTGATAATTGTCTCATTCCTCGTCTGCAATATGGAAGGCACGTCCATACGATACTATAACCTGGTGTCTACAGCTATAACCACAGCACGGCAACTATCTCTTCATCGAATTGACCACGTATCGCGTCGCCCATCACCTGACTCGATTGAAGCTGAGGTCGGGCGAAGGGTCTGGTGGTACCTTGCTGCATTGGATTGGTAAGTCTGCTGGACAAAGCACTACATTACCCCGGACTGACCAGCTTCAAGGATTCTCAGCAGGTTCGCGGGGCCTCATGAAGGGATCTGCACCATACAACCACGGCAGATGACGGTCAACAAGCCACGCAACATTCGCGACGAAGATATGGTGGATGGCGCTCCCATGTTCGGATTGGACCTCGCGCAGGCGACCTCAATGTCGTATTTCTTGCAGAGAATACGACTCGGAGAGCTCTGTTACGAGGTCAGCAATAATTCTACCGCAGATCAGCAGGAAATTGCGGATCACGACAATACCCAGCAGCTCGACGCACACTTTGAGAAGTTTCTCAGTGAATTTCCCCCCTTCTTCAGGCTAGATGACGGAGATCTGGCAGCCCCCGACAGAGCCTCGAAAGACCCTGCGATCACTGTACAGACTTACATTCTCGTCAATATGGTGCAGGCGCGACGCTGTAAGCTCCACCTCCCAAGCTTGTCGCGAAGCTCGGCGGAACCGGGGTTGGCCAGATCACGGCAGATTTGTCTCGATGCTGCGCGACAGATTATCGCGGCCGAGCGACGCCTGGAGAAGGAAACAGACATCCCTTTCGCTCTGAGCCGCTTCAGATTCGGCGGAACACTATACTGCCTCTTCTTGGCCATCATCGCTCTGTTGTTAGACGTCTGCCTGAACAGAGTCGCCGAGCCCGAGGACAGTCGCAGAACAGAACTGTCACAGGCATTTCAGATCTTGGAGCAGGCCAGAAGCCAGACGAAGATGGCCACGACGTTGCTCGAATCTCTTCACGGGCTGGTGTCCAAGTACAAGGTATCGCTGCCCTCTGTGAGCCATGACGTCCCAGCCCATGAGGCCGCAATGCCTCTTGCTACTATGCCTGATGCACTCGGCACAGGAACGGGGAGCAACAGTGTCGATCTGTCAAGCACGGAATTGCCTTTCTTTGACGACATTTGGCAGACCTTTGAGGGTGGAATGTTCCTGGATGAGATCGACATAGACAGCATGTTTGCGGAGATGAATGCGTGTATATGACCGAGCTGCCTTGGTAGCGAAACCGAATGCTTCACTCACATATGCAATGGCTATGGTGTCATCGGACGTTGGTACAACCCTGTGCGAACGATCGAATGCTAGGGCCCAACGCATTATGGGAAGATGTAGCTGTGTAGCCTCGCCAGACGAGAACGTTATGGCTGAGTCTCTAGTGCTAAATACATGGGTAGGAATATAGGGCTACGCAATCTAATTCAGGGAGTGAATTTTGTATGCACGCGTGAACTCACCCTTCAGTCGTGGCTGGGTTTATACCATCATACTATTGATGCCCAGGCTGGCGAGATCACTTGCCTACGAACGTATATGTACCGAGGAGGATGTGAGAGTGTATAGAAGTCTATATGGCCCCCCGCAAAACATTGTACACGTTCAGTACGATTGCAGTCTATGCAGGTTTGTTTTTACGTTCTCCCTTCGTCTTAGACACCACCAACCCGTTCTTCAACATGTGGTACACATACTAACTTTGCAATCGGGATGAGAAAGGAGTGGTAAATATTTAGGGGAAATAGGGGATAATCGCACCATCGAGATAACTTTGTACATATTGTACGTGTACTCCGTATAGACAGGACGGAGATGGGTGTTTAATTTTCGAGGTCATACCTTGGCCGGTACTGGTAGG